GTGTTTATGCGTGGGTGCTTGTGTGTGTATGTGTTTGTGTATGTGTGTGTATGTGTTTGTGTATGTGTGTGTGTATGTGTGTGTGTGTATGCGTTTGTGTGTGTATGCGTGTGTGTGTGTGTGTGTGTCTGTATGCGTGTGTGTGTATGTGTGCCTGTGAAATATCTATTGCTCCAAGGGTTCAGGGGATCTCGTAGTCGAGCAGTCTCGACTAGAGCTTTCTTACTTGTTGTTTTTATTTTTTTACTTTAAGATCTTTTCATTTTGGTTTCAGGTTTCAGGTTTCGTTTTTCTGGTTTATTTTCTAAAATATTTGTTAAAGGCACAAAACGTGTAACGATGCTGACGATTGAATATAGTCATAACAGAAACTATCTCTGAAGTTTAAATATTAAACAGATCTATAAATACATATATTAAATGTGAAAAGAGTCATTTAGTATTTATTATTTATTATTATTCAATTTTGTATAGTTGAATTGATTCTTAAGTATTTTCTGAAATTTATTTTATTTTAGTATTTTTGTTTGAATAGTATTTTTGCTTTTGTAGACAATTTTTGTTTGTATAGTAATATTTTAATTTTTTATTTTTATATTTATCTCTCAAAGTCTCCACTTGGTAACATCAAGAAATATTTCATTTCCTGCATTTAGCAGCTTAATCGTAAGGAAATATCATCCTCTCCTGTGTTCAAAGGACTATAAAAAAGTCAAATCTACGAAAATTTGATGCAGATTCTATGTTCGACTTTTGGAATATGCAACAATGGAAAATGACTCAAAACATGTCCAAGAAAAACATTTATCAAAAATGAGCTCAACACTGAACAGATTCGGCATAAGTGAGGCAGTAGACCACTATCACATAGTCAAATCGAAAGTCCAGCATATTTATCAATATATACGACATATTTGCTGGGTACTGTACCACAGGCCTGATCTATAGACCTTAAAAAAGCTGCATTCAGTAATTGTAGCAAAAAAAAAAAAAAAAAATAATAATTTAAAATAATTGAAGGTACTCAAAAAATTGTTAAAAATAAATCCTATACATACACTGCCCCTTCGAATCAACCGTTTGAATACAGTTTGTTTTTTGAATTCAATATTTCCAACAGATTTAATTCAGAAGCTTCAGCAGTCAACCGTATTCCCGTTTGCTTTCTATTAACCTTAATCACATTTGGCCATTCATCCGTATATCATGGTTAGCAGCAATATTTTGCTCTTCACTCGTTCGACGTGTCGCCATTGTGGCTACAAATCGGCAAACAAAACTCGGTGAATGCAAACAAATCCGTGATGCACGTTGATAACGATTATGGCTTGAATGTAATGTAATTGATGCGAATGCGAATATGCGGATAGGGCTGGCACCCCGACGGCCACACTCGGACAGAGCTTACAGGAACTGCTGAGTTGGTGAACTACTGAACTGTTGTCCTCGTCCTCGTCATCGTCATCGTCATCGTCATGCTCATTGCACATAATGCGATGTTCTCTCTCGTACCTCATGGCATTCTTAGTTTAATATTAGCCGCAGACATGTTGTATGTAGCGGCCTCTCCCTCTCGCGTTCTCTCTCACTTTGCAGCCCTTTCTCGGTCTCTCTTTGGGACGGAAATTAAACGTTACGAGTACATTTGGCATTGTCTGGCCCGGGCTTTTGGATTTTGTATACAACTGTGTGTGTGCAGCATCGAGAAATGCCACTTGAAATGCAATCCGCTGCCCGGTTCCGCATCAGTTGCTGAACACCATTGTTGCTGTTGTTGCTGCTGGTGTTGTTGTTGTTGTTGTTGTTGTAGCTGTCATCATCACCATCAAGCGCCATTACAAGTAATGAGTGCGGTAGGCACTCTCTCTCTCCGTGTGTGTGTGTGTGTGTGTGTGTCTGTTGTAGTTAGCTGGTCAGGGCGCAGCGTTCGCCTCGGTCATTGCATGAAAATTGTTATCTCGCACAATGCAGACGATTTCCGGCAGGCATTTTCTCTTGTACATTTTCTCATGTGCCCCAAACGACACGAGCCAGCAGAAATTAAGTCGCACCGTTTGCAAATGACAATGCGCGCTGTCCGAATGCGAATTTTACTTTCATTCTGATTGTCCTTCTGGGTGATTCTGGAGGTAATAACCTCAGCACATCTGAATTTTCAGAGAATTCATCTTTTTATTAATTATTCCAGTCCAGTCAGAATTCCCTTTTATAGCCTATAATCTTAAATAATAATCATATATGTACGTAATACTCCCTGTGATTTGTTTCCACTATTCAACCAACATAATAACGGATTTCAGGGCAAATTAGCTCACATTCAATACTCATGCCATAGCTCGTCCACTCTCTGTCTTTCGGTCTGTGCTGTTGCCATATTATGTTAGCACTTCAGGCGCTACACACACGCACACACTTACACACCCTTAGACTCGCACACATTCATACCATGCCAACAGTCAAGCCCCGCCTATTCAAATAGATTGTATATCGTTTCGCTTTCACTCACTGCCCCTCGTCGAATATCTCTGGCTGAAATGATGCTGCTAATGAGTTCTAATAATGATAATATTGCGCTACCATATACTAAGTATAAATATAGGCTATGTGCATATAAATATGTGTATGCGTGTGTGTCTGTGTGTGCATGTGTCTCGGGAGACATAAATAGAAGTTATTTCGGGTGCAGCCTGATTTGCAATATCAGTTAATAGTTTCTGCTGTGCGTGCGCCTTGAATGCTAAGAGACTTGGCATTATATTGAGTATATTAAAGTAGCAAGTGCTTCTAGGTGTTCTTTTTAATAGAAATCAGTATTAAAATCATCTTTGTCTGAGATTATCATCAAATAATATAGTACAGTTAAAAGACATTGTAATTAGGTTTAATATGTCAGATGCATATGTGGAAATGTAGGACGATATTTCTATACAACTTTAAAATTATATTCTGAAATTAGGTTTAATAGAATTTTCAATGAATTGGCAAAGTTCTTTTGATAATTATCAATAAGACTAACCATATATATTTGAACCATATATATATTAAAAGTGGTATGAATTTTGCTGAGTACTCTCTTATAATATTAGAAATTAATACAATATATAAAATATTCTAACCGAACTTTCTTCATAACTTTTTTATACTTTTATTCTAAAAGCATTATTTAAAAAAAATAAAACACTCAAAAATATCCAATCTAATGAACTTTTAATTTTCACGAAAATTTATATATATGTAGTTAAACAAAAATTGTAAATTAGTTTAAATAAAAACAATATACATAATAATAACAGAAACAGTCAGTTTATTTGTATATTCATATTTTTTATATTTTTATTTTTCCAATACAAAATAATATGTTGATTATATTAAATT